CACTCTCAAAATAGTAGACACTTGTTAGCTTTGGAGATGGAAAAGGCAGCATCAAATATGGGTGAAGGGCACACAGCTTGACCAAGGTAAATGATGTCCCTACAAAGTACTAAGAGAAAAGGATGTCTTTCGTAAAGGATGTGACAAGTATAATCTGGAAACAACACCACCAACAACAACCAAAAAAAAAATCTATGTGGTTACATAAATACGTATATAGGCATATAAGTATATAAACATGAATGTGTGAGTATATACATATATGCACAGATAGAACTATCTATAGGCATATGTATATACAGGTATGTGTGCACATGCATGTATACCCACGTACGTAATGAATCACGTACAGGAAACAGGTACACATACTTTTTAGACATAACCAAACACCTCACCAGATTGGTTTTCGGGGTTGGAAGACTTAGGACCATAGTCCTGTGGGACAACTCAGTTAACTGGCATAATGTAGTTCATAAAGTGCGTGTTCTACATCGCAATGTGGTAATTAGCGTTTGGGTTCTTAAAAGCTTGTGAGCAGCCATCAAAGATATAACTACTGGTCTCTACTCATCTGGAACAAAAGAGAAAGAAGAAAATCAGAGACTCAAGAAAGTAAGTAGTTTACAGGACTAACAATCGACACAAACCACAGCCTTGTCTACCCTGAGACCAGAAGAACTAGATGGTGCCTGGCTACCAATACCAACCATTCTGATCAAGGCCACATTACATGGATCCTTACAGAATGGGAAAAAAATGCGGAACAGAACTCAAATTCTTAAAAAGTCCAAACTTACTGGACCAGTTGTGACTTGAAGACTCCCTCAGACTATTGCTCTGATATACACTTTAAACGTTAAACCAAAATTATCCCTTCAGGTCATCTGTCAGCTAAATGACAGACTGGATCATAAAATAAAGACTATCACCTATGAGTAATGAGTTTCTTAAAAAAAAAAAAAAAACTGTAGGAGACCAAATGATCAAAAACTACTCTAAAGCAAAGATGAGAAGGTAAGGGGACAGTACTAGAGTACTGAAATGGTACAATTAGAATGGATTGAATGAGAATAATGACTCATTGTGAAAAATGTTAACAAATGTCACAGAATAATCTGCATAGCAAATGTTAAATGGGAACCTCACTTGCTATATAAACTCTCACCTTAAACACAATAAAATATTTTTTTAAAAAAAGAAAATAAAGAAGCTGCAAAGTAGAAATTCTTACTTGGGAAGTTCTGGTGGTTCCCTAGGGACTTCAGCAACACCAACAACTGCTCCTGGAGGCTCTGCCTCCTCCAAGCTGTGGGCCTCCTCCTGCACTGCACCCTGTGCGCCTGGAGGTTGCTGTACTTTCTCCATTTCCTGAGGCCCATCCAGTTCTGTGGTGGAGTTAATCTCTATTTCCTGAACTGGGGCTGGGACTGGTTCCTTCTCAGCTGCAGCAGCTGCTATAGCTTTTGCCTCTTCTTTGTTTCGTCTCATCTTCTCTTCAAGCTCTTTTCTCCTCTTCTCATCATCCTGACGGGCCATGTCGTCAAAGGTTTTGAATACCTAAATCAAACAGCAATCCAGCAATCAGTACATCTGCCCGGTACTGTACCACACATTCTTGCAGAAATGTAGTAAAATCTGGTAAGGAATTAAAAAGCAGTAGAAAGGACTAGCGCTGACAAGCCCCATCATGAACTGCTCATTGTGCTAGAATAAATCATTGTCCTAAACCAAAAAGTTTTCCCATTGGCAAAACGGATATTTACTTCAACGTTGCCAAAAGTTGCTATGGAAACAATCTTTAACAGCAAGGTTCCAAAATGAAAAATTCACAAGCCAAGACTCATAATATTTACATACCTTATGAGTCCACCTTTCTAGATTAGAGAATGCATAACTAGATGGTCTTACCTATCATTATCTTTACAGGCCCCAAAATAGCCTTGCACATAATGCAAAGGAACAAATTACCCTAATGCTGAGAGTTGTAAAAGCACCAATAACTCAGACTCAAAACAGGAAGATAAAAATGTAGTTGAACCTAATCCACCACCAGTCCATACAACCAACCTTACTATAGTGCTGCTATCTTTCCCATACTGTGAGAGATGAAAGAAGGTATGAGACAGAGAAAGCCTGAGAATCTAATTCAGCAAACATCTACGATGTGCCTATAATATGCAAGGAACACACACAAAAAATACATAAAAATGAAGCCTTCTATCCTCTAAGCA